GTGGTAGACTGATTCCCATTTTCCTGAGGAACCACCATACTGATTTCTAAAGTTGCCGTATTAGTTGGCACTCCCACCAGCAGTGGAGGAGTATTCCCCTTGCTCCACATCCTCTCCAGCATGAACTTTCATTAGTGTTTTTGATCTTAGCCATTCTGAGAGGTTTAATATGGTATCTCAGAGCTGTTTTGATTGCATTTCCCTGATGGCTAAGGATGTTGAGCGATTCTTAAATGCCTTTGGCCAGTTGAGATTTCTCTGTTGAGAATTCTCTATTTAGATCTGTACCCCATTCTTTAATTGGATTATTTGTGTTTTGGTGTCTTAGTTTTTTTGAGTTCTTTGTCTATTTTGGAGATCAGCCTTCTGTCAGATGTGAGGTTGGTGAAGATCTCTTCCCTTCTGCAGGGAAAGATCTCCCATGCTCTTGGATTGGTAGGAGCAGCACAGTGACAATGGCAATCCTACCCAAAGCAATATTCATATTCAATGCCATCGCCAACAAAATCCTAGCACAGTTCTTCACAGACCTTGAAAGAATAATACTCAACTTCATATGGAAAAACAAAAAACCCAGGATAGCCAAAACAATCCTGTACAATAAAGGAACTATTGGAGGCATTGCCATCCCTGACTTCAAGCTCTACTATAGAGCCACAGTAATGAAAACAGCTTGGTATTGGCACAAAAACAGACAGGTAGACCAATGGAATCAAATAGAAGACCCTGATATTAATTCACATACCTATGAACACCTGAGTTTTGACAAAGAAGCTAAAATTATACAATGGAAAAAAGAAAGCATCTTCAGCAAATGATGCTGACATAACTGGATGCTGGAATGTAGAAGATTGCAGATAGATACACGTCTATCGCCATGCACAAAACTCAAGCACAAATGGATCAAAGACCTCAACATAAATCCATCCACACTGAATGTCTTAGAAGAGAAAGTGGGAAGTAGCCTTGAATGCATTGGCACAGGAGACCACTTCCTGAACATAACACCACTGAGAGCAATCAACAATTAGTTGAAACTAGAAACTTCTGTAAAATGTTTTGCATGAGGGTGTTTTGCCTATGCATCATGTGTATGTTTGGTGCCTGTAGAGGCTGGAAGAGGGCACTGGAATCACAGATAATCTTGAGCCATCTCTGTGGTTGCTGGGAACCAAACCAGGTCCTCTGGAAGAGCAGCCAGTGCTTTTAATCACTGAGCAATCTTTTTACGTCCCCCCCACCCCGAAGAGGACATTGTAAACTGTTAGCCCTTTCTTTTTTAAAAGGAATAAACTTAGGTATTTATTTTACATCCCAGCTGCAGTTTCTCCTCCCTCCTCTCCACCTAGTCCCTCCCCCACCTCCCATCTGTCCTGTCGTGTGTCCCCCGCCCCCAGTCCACTCGTACTCCATTTTTATACAGAAAAGGGCAGACTTCCTATAGATATCAACAAAAAATACACGTTAACCTTTCTTTACTGTTCACAACAGCATCTTGTTAGCTGTTTATCTAGCATTAGTGAAAACCCAAGTGCCCAAAATAGGAGGTTGTTTTACACTGTGAAGTGGGTCAAGTTCCAACTGTCAGATGTTGTAAACGCCCTGCACCTTGCAGTGTGCCCAGCGCTGTTCCTGTCCTGTCCACCTAGAAACTGTACATCACTTCTGTCTGTTGCTAACTCCTTCATCTGGCTACACGTCTGTGCAACTGACTGGTGGCCTGAGTTTTTCTTTCTTGTTTATGGATTTCTTCCATGAGGACTTGAATTCTCCCTGAACTTCACCTTCTCTGGCTCTCACTGCGTTTTTCCTTCTGTTCTTAACAAACTTGGTGGAAAACTCTCTGTCCTCTCTTCATAGTATCCCAGTCTGCTTCCATTTCGTGTCTGTGCTCACCAGTGCACTGAGACCTTATGTCAAGGGCAACTTTGCAGGTGTTGTTTGCTCTCTCAGCCTCCTGGATCTGTTTTACATGGCTGTGTGCTTTTGCTTCGTATGTCCCACCTAGGCTCTTCTGGAGGTCGTCTTTGGCAAGTAGGGCCCTTTAATGGCTGGGTGCTATGCAAACCCAGCTCTGTCATACTGACATAGTGTAACTGAACTCCAGAACTCTTGTAGGATCAGTCGAACCTTCTACAGGATTTTTCCTGAAATTGTTTCTCTGCCCCCTCTGTATTCTCTCCCCTCCTATGGCCCCCTGTCCCTTCCTTTCTTTTTCCTCCCCTTTCCTTCCCTCTTCCCTTCTCTTCTTTCTGAAAGATGTTTTTTTAACCTATGTATGTGTGTTTAACCTATGTATGTTGTTTAACCTATGTATGTGTGTGTGTTTAACCTATGTGTATGTGTTTCTTTAACCTATGTATGTGTGTGTGTTTAACCTATGTGTGTGTGTGTTTAACTATGTATGTGTGTGTGTTTAACCTATGTGTGTGTGTGTTTAACCTATGTGTGTGTGTGTGTGTGTGTGTGTGTGTGTGTGTGTGTTTAACCTATGTGTGGGTGTGTGTTTAACTATGTATGTGTGTGTGTTTAACCTATGTGTGTGTGTGTTTAACCTATGTGTGGGTGTGTGTTTAACCTATGTGTGTGTGTTTAGTCTATGTGTGTGTGTGTGTACTACATGCATTTATGTGCACCATATGCATGTGGTTGCCCTCCATCCAGAAGTATTGGAACCCTAGAAACTGAGTTACATCCACTCCCGTCTCTTTGAGACAGGATCTTCTGTATAATCCAAACTGGCTTCAAATCTGCAGCTGCAGAAAGCCCGTGTCACAGGCAAGCACCCGTCACCGTATTCAGCTGGAGGTGCGTTCTTGTCAGCTGTTTTCTTTGTGACACTCCTCCTGGTTTCTCTCAGGTGCACATAATCAGACTTACACATCAGTCAGTCTTCATATGCTCACATGATCACTGACAAACTGTTCAATTTACTGGCTTCATATTAGATCACAATTTGATAATGTTCATCTTCCTAATTCCTATTGAGTCTTAAAAAAATTACAAAGGTAAGGGTTAAACCCAGTGCTTTGTGTGTGTTGGGTGAACATTGCACTACTGAGCTAAGTATATATTCCCAGCCCAGAACTTGAAGTTATCTACTTTTGTGTGTTTGTGTATATGCATGTCACATGTGTGCTTAAATAATGTGTGCATGTGTGTGAAAGCCAGAGAGTGACATCAGGGAGTTTGTTCAGGTGCTCTCAGCTTTATGTATTGAGGCAGAGAAGCGGGCTCTTTGAAAGGAACAAATCCCTTCTGGGCTGGGAGTGGCTTAACCAAGGAGCTGGGGACCCAGAAATTTAACAGCTTCTGAAAACACTGCGAGCCATTGGCTTCAGAATTTATTTCCTCTCACCTAAGAATAAGGAAACAGATAGAGAGGAAGTAGGCAGATATGTTTACTAAGGAAAAGTAAGAATTGTCAAGAGTTGGAGGTTCTCCAGGGGAGGAGTACTGCTGTGCTGTGCTGGGCTGGGCTGTGCTGAGCCGAGCTGAGCTGACCAATTATTGAGTGTGTGGTCAGTGGGTTTTATTGGGCATGTGGTGGGATTGGAGGGAGCCTGGCTGAGGTCATTTCTATTGGGACTGCTCTTTTTTTTTTTTTTTTTTGTCATGTCGAGAGTTGAATAAGTTCCATATTCACAGGCCTTAATTCATGTCTCCATGGCCAAATGGGGAATTATTTTGTTCATTCGGGATAGGGGTTAGGGTTACGTGGGCTTCCCAGATAATACATGGCCATAATCAGCTAGCTCACGCTCCAGCATGAAACAGGCAGCTGTGATCAGCCACTTGAGGTAGCATCGTCTTGTCAGGGGAGGCAGTCATCACAAGTTCATGGGTCTCTTTCCTGCCCCGTGATTATACAGGATATAAACAATTGACAGGGGTTTGGCCAAGCAGAAGTCAGCACAGACCTCCCTGTGGCATAGTTGTCTTTCTTACTCAGGCTATGCTCCTGTGAATAACCCCAGAACAAACACCCTTCCTTTGATTGCTCCAGAAAGTTCAAACGCTCACTTTCTGTTTCAGTCATATCAAGATTCCTGGATACGGAGCAGCTGCTTTCTGTTTTAGTTCAAATCCCAAAGCAAGACACGGTATGTGTTACAGAGCACCATGCACTGTGACTGTTGTCATGAGACACAGCTTGTCTTGATGGGTAGTGATGGGGAAATATAAAGATGCCCTAGGTATGTACTCCTCACTGACACCCAGAATAGTTTTATAGCTGAGGGGGCAGCTTTTCAAAAGTTTTGCTTCTTATTATAGTGCCGTGAAAAAGCATCTTAAGTAGCTGAAGAATAAGCATATTTAAACAAATCAAATATTTACTTAAATATCAAAATTGTGGTAGTTCTAAAGAATATATATATATATATATATAATTATATATATTTCATATGCTACATTCTGAAAGGCTGTTATTAATTTGAGATGCTGAAATTGGTAAAATTGTTTTGCTTGCCTGGCAGGAAGCAGTGGGGGATGTTGTTCTAAGTCATTTAGGAAGCTAAGATGCACCCCATTTACAGGAAGCTTTGTGCCCTTATTAAATTCCTGTCAGTGTCTTGATCTGCTGGGTATTGAATTTAAATTGCACCAAAGATGTTGGAATAGAATGAGAGTTGATACAGTGGTGTGAACTCTCACCAGGTTTTCAGGAGAGCAGCATTATGGATTTACACTGTGGTCAGTAATCTCCAACCACCCTGTGGGCTATCATCCTAGCTTGGCTGATCTACACAACTATGGGATATTCTTGGTCAGAGTTGACTGCTGAAGAGGAAAACCTATCACGGGATTGAAATGTGGGCTGTTCACGTTTGTCTCTTATCTTGACAGGTTAACGCAGCCGAATCGAAGATAACAAACTTGATCTACCTGAAGCACACTTTGGAACTTGTGGACCCTTTAAAGGTATCCACTGTGTGTTGCACAAACATAAAGCATTTTTTAGACATTTTTTTAAGAAAAAAGTAAACTTAGAAGTTGTAAGAGCAGTGTATTTTCTCTCTTTACATATGTATAACAATCATATGTAAATATACATGGTTGAACATACTTTTTAAAATTTTATTTCATGTGCATTAGTGTTTTTTGCCTGTATGTATATCTGTGTGAAGGTGTCGGATCCCCTGGATCTGGAGTTACAGACAGTTGTGAGCTTTCATGTGGGTGCTGAGGATTGAACCTGGGTCCTCTGGAAGAACAGCCAGTGCTCTCAACCACAAGCCACCTCCCCGGCCCCTAAACATATTCTTATTGATCCATTTGAAATAAGCTATAGTATCTAAGTACTGAATCATGTCTTGCCTGTGAGCAAGGATGTTCTCTTATATAACTACAATGTATTTACAAACTCAGAATACCTAACATTAATATAATACTATTATATCCCACATTCGATTTTTTTCAGTTGTTTTAATATTAATAGTTTTCTTTGTAGTTTCCTAAAAGGGTTCTATCCATAACCATTCATTAATGTCTTTAAGCTCTTTTTAAAACATTTTTATTTATTGAAATAAATTAATACAATATACTTTATTATGTTTTCCCCTTCTTCGGTTCTTCCCAGGTCTCCTCATCTCCCTACACACAACTTTATGTTCTTTTTCTCTTAAAAAAAAATCAGACAAAAACAGAGAGGAAGAACAACAGATAAACACACACAAAATCCCTGCAAAGCAAAGCAAAATGAGGCAAAGAAAATCTATAAAGATAGTTGTTGAGTTAGTGTTCTATTGGCTAACTGTTTGTGGGGATGGGGCCTGCCCTGAGGTTGATACACCCAGTGACACTCCATTGGAGAAAATTGCTTTTCCCTTTGCTGGTGGGTACCAATGGTAGGTAGCTTCTTGGTTAAGAGTGGGAGCTAGCCTGAACCTGTGCAGTCTCTGTGCATGTTGCCATAGTCTCTGTGAGTTTGTATGATGTGTCTGGAAGAGGGTTTTCTTGGAGTCATTCGTCAACTCTGGCTTTTACAGTCTTTCCACCTCCTCTTTTGTATGGACCCCTGAGCCTTGAAGGGAGGACTTTGATGAAGACAGCCCATTTAGGATTGAGTGCTCCAAAGGCTCTCCCCACTCTGCACCTTGTCCAGTTGTGGGCCTTTGTGCTAGTTCCCATCTGCTGCAATAGGAAGCTTCTCTGATGAGAGCTAAGTGGACACTGATGTATGGGTATAACAGTGTGTCATTAGGAGTCACTTCATTGCTGTTCTTTTAGAATACTAGCATTACGCTTCCCCCTAGGGCTATGACCTATCTAGTCACAGGTTCGTGTCCACTTATCAGAGTCAGGTATGGATCCCATCTCATGGAGTGGACCTTACATCTAGTCAGAAAGTGCTGGTTACTTCCATTGCACCAGTGTGTCTTGTAGGCAGGTCACTGTTGTAGGTCACAGGGATTGTAGCTGGGAGATACTGACTTTTCTCGCCTGGTAGCATGTAGAGTACCTTAGACACCAGCTCAACTTCTCCATGTTCTGTAACACATGTCAGTGTTGTCTTCAGCAGTAGGGCATTGCCATCAGGGTGTGGAGAGTAACCAATAGCCTTGGAAACAGGCGGTAGTGTGTGGGGGTTTCCATGGGGATTGGCCAACAACTCAACAAGATTTAACTCATCCTGACACTGGAAGTTTTACTTTGTGGACACTGTCTTCTTAAATTTGGTAACTTCATTGGTTTCCTTTTATTTGGGCATGGATTTTAGGAAGCTTCATCAGTAGCAGCTCTCCATATGGCTTTTCAAATGGCCTTTAGTGTGAGTCGCCCTCCCTGCCTTCCCTCCTTTACCTTGTTCACCGTCTTCCTTCCTATCTAACCCTCCTATTCTAGTTGCCCTTTGTCTCTCCACAGCAGTACCTCCTCATCTCTTTCTAGGTACGTAACCTCTGTGGCTATTTAGATTGCATTGATTACATTGATTACATTGATAGCCTGAAAGCTAGCATTCACATATAAAACATACAATATTTGTCTCTGGGGGCTGGGCTGCTTCAGTCAGAATAATTTTTTCCCTAGGTTCATCCATTTACCTGCCTATTTCATTTTTCTTAACAGCTGAATAATATTCCTGTGTAAATACCACATTTTTATTACCCAGTCATCATTCAATGGACATCTAGGCTGTTTCCAATTTCTAACTATGAATAGAGCAGCAATGAACATGGGTGAGCAAGTATCTCTGTAGTAGTGGGGTGTAGAGTCTTTTAGTTATATGCCCAAGAGTGGTATAAATGGATGTTGAGGTAGATCTTGCCCCAGCTTCTGGAGGACTTCCGTGGAACTGATTTCCACGATTGTGCAATAGATATGTGTTCCCTTATTGCACATCTTCAACCGCGTGAGCTGCGGTTGGTTTTATTGATTGTGGCCATTCTGACTGCTTTAAGATGAATCTCAAAGTAGCTTTGAGTTTCCCTGGTGACTAAGGATGTTGAGGGTTTCTTTAAGAGTTTCTCAGCCATTTGTGTTTCATCTTTTGAGAGCTCTTCTTAGTTCTGCACCTCATTTTTTAGTTGGGTTATTTTTTTTTCATACCCACTTTTTGAGTTCTTTATATCTTTTGGATATTAGTTTTATCAGATGTGTAGTTGGTAAAAATCTTTTCCCATTCTGTATGCTGCCATTTTGTCCAAATGATGGTGTCCTTTGCTGTACAGAAGCTTTCCAGTTTCATGAAGTCCCATTAATTAATTAATTAGTTAATTAAATAATACTAATTGTTGGTCTAGTTCCTGTGTTGTTGGTGTTTTGTTCAAAAAGTCTGCCTGTGCCAATGAGCTCAAGTTTAAGACCAGTTCCCACTGTTTGTTCTAACAGATTGCGTGTATTTGGCCCTATGTTTAGTTCTGTGATGGGTGATAGGTATGGATCTATTTGCATTCTTCTGTGTGTGGTCATCCAGCTTGACAAGCACCATTTGTTCAAAGTGAGAGTTTCTCAGCTTTATGATCATCATTTGTGTGGGAAGGGAGAATCAGTGAGACAGACAGCGTGTCAACAGCAGGAGATGCACATAGTGTGCATTTTTTTGAGAGGTTTGCCAGGAGCTGAGATAGTGGACTTGCACATGTGAAGCACACTGATCTGCACCCCCCCCACACACACACACAGCACACACACACACATAGCACTCACCTTTTGATACTGTAATGCTAGTCCTAGGAATCTGTTCAAAAGTCATTTCGTCCATTGCAGCTCATTTACATTAGTGCAAAAGTGTTTGAAGAATAGAGCTGCAGTAATTAAAGGAACTCTAGCAATTAGAATTCAAAGGTGGAATATTGGAAATTTAAGAAATTGCTGTTGGGCTGGCAAGATGGCTCCGTGAGTTAAATACTTGCTACCAAGCCTGATGACCTAGTTTGATTCCTAAGACTCCTATGGTGGAAGGCAAGAACTAACTCCTACATGTTATCTTCTGCCCTCCATACATGAGCTGTCATGTGCACATGCCCACACACATACACACAAAACTAAATACGCATTGCTATGAAAAGTTTCTGATGCCCATGATGTAGTAGTGAGGGGGAAGGGAACATATAATCACATAATTTTTAAATTTCAGATGAAGACAGGAAATGCACTGTAATATTTAGAGTATATAATCTTTGGAAAGGAAATTGAATTATGAGTGATTGAATCTTTTATGTTTCTGTGGACTCTTTAGTTTATTTCTCTGTTCAGAAGCAGCTCAAATTATAACCATCATCTCTCCCCAAAGTGAAATGGCCAGTGAAAATAATGGCCTTCTCTTTCCTTGTTCAGTTGGTGACGATTTACAGTTCCCATTAAGCAAAAGAAAATTCTTACTCCCAGTTTTGCGGTATGGGAAAGGAGAACTTGCCCTATTTATAAATATATAAACACAAATATTTAAGTTGTCTACAGGATGACTTTAGTTGTACAACAGTGGCTGTTTAGATGCCCACCGCTTAAGAAGCTGGTGAAGTTTTATACAGGAGACAGCAACTAGAAGCCATGGCCTTGACGTGGTGGATGACTTCGTCACCATGTGCTTTTCACCTGCAAATATGCAGTCTGGCCTCAATGTCATACATGTCGGAAGGCTTCTCATGGAAATAAGGATGAGAAAATGAAGCAACAGCAGGCATTTGATCACGTGTTGAATACGGTGTTGGATTTGAAGAGTGCCTGACTGGCTAACTTTGGTTTGTTCTGACAGGTCACCTTGAAGAACTGCAGCACCCCCCTACTCAGAGCTTACTACGGCTCCTTGGAAGACAAGAGGTTCTGTTATCTGTTGAGAGAGTATACTTTTCTTCCTGATCATAAGCGATTTTAGCAATTGTGTCTTCTATAGAAAAATCACTTGATCTGGGTGTGGTGGTACATGAGTTTAATCCCAGCACTCAGGAAGCAGAGGCAGGCAGATCTCTGTGAGTTCAAGGCCAGCCTAGTTTCCGTCACAAGTTCCAGGCAAACTGGGGCTACGTAGTGAGACCCTGTCTCAAAATAATTACTCAAGTTTCTTCGAAGTATCTATTAATTATCAATTACACATTAATCCTGTAAGTACAATAATGGGATAACAAACCATGTCTGTTTGTCTGTTTGTACTAATGGCCAGTGTTTCCTTTCTAGCCATTCTCTATGGAGATGGTTGCCAGTATCAAAATACATCCTTCTTTTTTTTTTGTTAAATCATGGAAGACCAAGTGAAGGAGAAAAAATCCTAATAGATAGGAATGTAGAACAAGTTCTAAAAAACAATTAATATTGTTAAATTATTAGCAGTAGCACTTCAGTTCTCAACCAAGCAGGTCATCAGGCTCAATACTTGCCTTGTTGGGTGAGGATTTGCATCCTATGTGATGCCACCAGCTGAGTTTGCTACCCAGACCAGCTTAGTTCAGTGTGATGTTCAAGAACAGAGCACCTGGGAAGTTAGTACACTTGATGTCACCAGGACTGTGGATTGTGTAGTGGTCACTGTGCCTAATCAGTTCTTGCTCTGTGACCTACATGCAAATGGATTGAAGGAGCACTTAGTCAGACTCTTATATTTGCCTATTACATTTCTTTAGGGGTCAGGCCCTACTCCCAGCCATAGTGATTGTGTGTAATGTGGGAGATGCTCCCACTAGCAAATTTACTGTGAAAGTAGCGGTTTGCCTATTACCTGTTTTCGATTTGTCCTAATGCTAGGTTTGGACTTATACTTGAAAAGATTAAAACAGTGATAAACGATGATGCGAGGTACATGAAAGGCTGCCTGAACATGAGGACTCAGAAGTGCTATGCCGTGCGCTCCAATATCAGTGAGTTCCTCGACAGAGCTAGGAGGACATACACAGAGATAGTGGACGACATAGC